GATTTTCATTATTTTATAAATTTCAATCACATTCCCTTCTCAGCCTGTGTCTCTCCAGAATGAAGAGCCCTAATTCTTTTATCATCCCTCACAAAGAGTTCTCTCTGCCCTCAGCATCAATTTAGGGGTCCTTCTCCAGACCTTCCTCGCTCTGTATGTCTTTGAGGTACATCAGCTCATCGGACCCCCATAACTTTGTCCATTATTCTGTATAAATGAGCACAAGGACTTTGGCTAAAATAAAATGTAGGAATATTAGAGACACTTTTAAAAATCAAACGATTATTTTGTTCCATGTTGGCCCAGCATATGCTGAAAAAAATATACATTTTGCTTTAACTCTGAAATGAATCTGAGCACACTGGTACTGAGCGACCTTGTAATCTATTGTGAAAATGAGAATTTGCAAAGCACTTTCACATACTTTATCTCATTTGACCCTCATGTGAAATATGCAAGGTAGAAAAAAACATATTATTATCCGCATTTTTCACATGAGAAAAGTAAAAAGATGAATGTAGCCCAAGGTCAAACGGATGGAATTAGAGCCCCAGTCACTGGCCCTCCATTAAAAAAATGGTGCTTTCTCTACCGTGCAATACAACCTCCCTTATAATCACCTGTGATTTATTTTAAATCACCAAACTACCAACTCTGAGTCTCTATCAGTGACCCACGGCACAGTCACTGAATAGTCTATGGTTCCGGTGAAAGAAAAGATGGTTAAGATTGGTCTAGACCCTCTTCCCTGCCCTTTCTACAGGCTCTCCAGGGACAGTCTCAGCCACATCACAGGCATCAATATCACCTCCATGCAAATGACCCCCAAATTGGTGTCTCTAGGCCACACCTCTCTTCTGAGCACCAGATGGTGATATGGAACTGCATACCTGGTATCTCATGGTTGTCTCAACGTGCACAAAGCTTCGTCTTCTGCTCCCATCGTATCCGCCTCTACTGCCAAAACCCAGCTCTTTTGATGTTCCTTTTCTCAAATACCTATTTTGGAACCTAGGGGTCATCTTGACATTGCCCTCCCCGTCCCCTAACCCTGACCCACATCCAAACTAACACCAAGTCCTTTCTCTTCTCCCTCCTGCAGAACTCTCCATTCTGTCCATCTCTCTCCTTCCCCATTATCACCACCTCAGTCCAGGAAACCATCATCTGTGATTTGCCACAGGATCCTAGAATATTATTTCCTATTTAAATTCCCAGAATTAAATTCCTAGAAGCCTCCACCTTCCAACAGAGAGGCTCAAGGGTCTTTCCTCAGAGAAACCTTTCTTGACTTCCCCAAGTCAAATTTCTCCATTATTGTTACATAGCACGGGTCTGGCATGGTTTTATGAATTTAATTAATATCTGTCTCCCCCACTAGATTTGTAAACTTTTGCTCATCATTGTATTTCTTATACTATGCTCAGCCCGGCACCTAGAGACACATCAATAAATGTTTGTTAAATAAATAAATAAACCTACTAATAAGGAAATAGTTGTATATAATATACGTCCTCATTACGGGATACTAAGCAGCTATTAAAAAGAAGGAGATAAAGCTACATTTACTAATATGGAATGATAACCATGATATATTATTGATTAAAAACAGTATATTACAGAACACTATGCATACTCTGATCAGTTATTTTTAAAACCTATGTGTGCCTTTATTTAAAGAAGAATAACCTTTCTATGTATGCATATGTGTGTGTATGTGTTTTAAAAGGTCTACGAGACCAACACAAAACCACTTACAGTGATTTCCCTGGAGAATGGGAATGAGACCGGATAGAGAAAAATAGGAGAATAATTTCTACCAAGAAACTTCTTGCCGGTTTGACCTTTCTCAATGACCACATGATATTGTTGCAATTATTTTAACAATGCCCGTTTTAAAGTAATGAGGCAATTCACTAAAGTTCAGGAAACAAACCATTTCTAAATTTAGCAAAAAAAAAGAAAAAAATCATAACTACTTGGTATATGATTTCTCAACAATGATAAAGTTCCAAAAACCAGCATATTTCCAGCTCGAGTCTTCGATCTAGCAATACGCAGCAACGAAGAAGCAGAATGGAGGACAATCAGACCGGCCGGCATTTGCTTGTTTAATTAGGTCTTCCCCTCGTGTGGCTTTCACAAACAGTAAAAAATCTGAAAAATGACTGCTCTGGGATTCACTTCTACAATTTTAAAAGGAAGAATAACAAAAGGAAATAATGGTGTGCACTTTTCTTAATTTACCCAGATATTTCTGTTGTTGAATAAAAGCGATTACGCAAAACCTTTATGTGCCTTCGCCTGCCAGATAATCCTTTTGTTGTCAAATAGAGAAGACAGCTTCCTAAAATCACGCGTGCGACAGAGGAAGGAGCGGGGACAAATATCCTGGCTATGTGTGGACAGGATTCTTCCACAGCTATAGCACAAAATCTCTCTTGGGTGGCTGAGACAGGGGTGTACAGGTGGACAGCCCCGCTGTCACTGAGAGAGGAGAGGCAGGCGTGTGGGCGTGATTTCTGCAGCGCCAGCCACCAGGGTGAGCTGGGCAGTCTGTGAATACAGAGTCAACGCTGTCATTTGGAGCTGCGTGGATTCTTTTTTTTCAGACTCACTAATGGCTCAGATGGTGGGACAACCAAATAATGACTAAAATATGAGTCAAACGCTTTCAGATCAAATTATTCCAGTGAAGCAGGAACAGAGGCAAGCAGAGGGCAGGTCATTAGGGGTTCTAACCAATACTTGTTAAACCTGAAGAAACTCACTCTCCTTAATGGCTGCCTCTTTCAATCTATGTCATGGACATTAGTGAGCTGGGGACAGTCGATCTTTATTACCGGTGACACCTACCGATCAGCTCAGCAGTGGGAAAGGTGGCTCCCAGCTGGGCTTGTGTGCTTTCCCAATCCTGATTTGTCTTCCTTCTCTCCCAGGGTCTATCCACCACGTCTTCAATTATCCCAAAGTGTGTCAGGAAATTCTAAAATTAGCTCCAAAGTTGGTGTCTTGGTATTTTTGAAAACCAGCTTCCATTGAAATACAAACATAGTTCACATTAAGGAGAAGTAAGGTTGGGGGAAGGCAGATGAGGAGAGGCGTGTTATTTACTGAAACCACAGGGCATGCAGCCCCAGGAGTCAAAAATGTGGCAACTGGGTGTGGAAGAGGCAGCAGCATGTGCTCTGGCCCTCAACAGACACGTGAGCGAACGGTTTCCCTGAAATCCCTGCTCCCCCTTTCTTCCGCTAATTTCTTGGTTTCACATTCTTTCCCCAAGTGTTTACTCCCTACTTTACAATTTGGTTCCTCCAGAAGCTTTATAGTGAGGAGACTTGAAAGAATAGGTGTTTGCAAATGGCTTAGAATACTAATCAGAAAACAAAGCCTTGTACCACATGCATTGGAACAAATCTCATCAAGAATAACTGGAAGCACCCCATCTCTGTGGTAGCAGGCATCTGTTTTTATCCCCACCCCACACTCCTCCTTTTTAGGAACTTTCAGTCATATCGTAGAAGGAGCAGAGAACAATGTTTATCATCTAGCAGAGGTACAAGACCTCTCTCGATAGATCAGAACTCAGCTTACTTCAACCTAGCTTTCTGTCTCTATGAAATCAATTACTTTAGGTACCTCATAATAGTGGAATCATACAATATTTGTCCTTTTGTGACTGGTTTATTTCACTCAGCGTAATGTCTTCAAGGTTCATCTATTTTACGGGATGTGTCAGAATTTCATTCCTTTTTAAGGATGAATAATATTCCATTGTATGTACATACCACATTTTGTTTACCCATTCATCTGTCAATGGACATTTGGGCTGTTTCATATTTTTAACTTAATCCCACAATTTAACTTATCTTAATTTAACATATTCTTAACTTAATCTCACAATTTAAGACTTGCAGATAATTCGAATTCAATTCGATTTGTTGAGTATTTACCAAGGATATCCACTGTGCTAGGTACTGTGGGAGGTACAACGGGGAATCAGACATGGTACCTGTCCCCAAGGAACTTAGGCTATCTTGGGAAAGTAGGAAAGAAAGAAGTGAAAATAACTAGCATTTGCTAATCGCTTACCATGCGCCAGACGCTTTGTCCAATCACTGCATGTATATTGCTCACGGTAACCTTGTCAGGTAGATGATCTAATTATCCACTTTACAGTGAGAAAATGAAGACCCAGAGACCTTAAGCAACCACCTCTGAAGTGGGGAGACTGAGATTCAAAGCCCCATCTAGGCTTCAGAATCCTGCGTTCACTCCACTAGACATGCTGGTCCCCTTGGTGCAAGGCAGAACGAGACAAGTCCTGGGGGCGAAGCTATAAGAAGGTAGAAGAGAAGAGATGACCACTCTCCTGAGGGGAAAGGCTCACGGCAGAGGCAGGTGTGCAGGTCAGGAAGGCTTTTGTTTGATGGAGATAAAGGAGAGAGAAAACCATCTGAGCAGAGCAAAGTGGGCGGGGGTCAGGAAATCGCAGTGCCCGCTGAGGGACTGGTGGAGTTGTGGAACGTAAGGCTGGAAAGCAGAGAGGGGCAAAATCATGGTCGTCACGAAATGCTAGCTCATGGAGTCTGAACTCCGCCACGTAGACAATACAGGTTTTTCAAGGAGTCTGAACTCCGCCAGGTGAGCCAGTATAGGTTTTTCAAGATGAGACATAGTCAAGGCTATGCTGTGGGAAGGTCACCATGGCAGCAGTGCATAACAAGAAAGGAGGTTGGGTGTAGTTTAAAGGTAGGAAAGCTTGTTAGGTCACTGGCATTCGCAGATGAGACATCATTAGAGGTGGAGATGACGGAACCCGGCCATCGATGCATTATGAATAGGTTGACCATATGGCCTGGTTTGCCTGGGACACCTGTTTTCCTGGTGTAATTACTAACAGTCTCCTTTCACGCTCACAGGTCCAAGTTTGAACAACAAAACAGATGATCACACTTATTATGAGGAGTAAGAAAAAAGATTCAAAGGTGACTGAAAAATTTTGAACCCGAAGTAATAGGGAAGGTGATAACACTGTTAGCAACGTAGGTGAGAAATCAGGTTTTTGGGGAGATGATGAGTTTTGGTTTGGACATGCTGAGCTTGCTGCTATGGTGAGGATTCACTTGAGGGAGATAAGCACCTTGCCCGTGGATTTGCGCTGTGTCACATGAAGGAAGGCATCATTGACCTAAACAAATACGAAAAAACCCAAATGTAGTTGGACTTGTATACATGCATATTTCAACAAATATTTGTTGCTGATTCAAGTCTTAAAATAGCTAAAGGATTAAGATGTGTCTTCAGTGAACCATATATAGGTAACTAAGTGATACTGACTATCACCACAAACTCAAAGGAAAATAATATTTAAGAATAACCCAACCTCAGAATTTCTCTGTATAAACTATAACTTTCAATGTTGTCAGATAAATGACAGTCCTCAGGCTTGTCCATACTCTACTGTAATACCTCTGTGTGGTCTAGCTTTTGAAAGAATAGAGCCGCTGGCAGAAGAATCAATAATTTAATTTTTTACAATTTTTATATTTTTTATTAAAATTGTCCTGTTTACAGTGTAACTGAAATTGCAATCTAACTCAAATCTTTTTCTAAAGGTTCCAGTGATAAAAGAGAAATTAAACAGCAGCCACAGTAATCAAGAACAGTGTGATATTCGTGAAAGAATAGACAAAAAGATCAATGGAGCAGTAGAGGGCCCCAAAATAGACCTGCACCAATGCAGTCAATTGATCTTTGAAAAAGGAGCAAAGGTAATTCAATGAAGAAAGAACAGTCTTTTCAGAAAACAGCGCTGGAATGACCGGATGGACATCCGCATGCAAAAAAAGGAATCAAGACAGCTTCCTTACATCCTTCGCAAAGATTACCTCGAAATGGGTCTTACATCTAATTGTAAAAGGCAACACCGATTATGGTGGCAGGGAATCAAGTCAACCTTGAAGTTCATGCCAAGGACTGGGTCTGTAAATTAGGGTGGATGCACACCATGCAGCAGCGGGAAGCCGTGAACCGGATCCAAGATCAGCAACACAGGTGGATCTTTAAAAGACAGCGCTGCGTACACAATTCAGAAACGGGATCAGGTGTACGGCGCAACCCTACGTTGTTATTTGTTTACATAACTTGAGACTGACTCGGGGGTGGGGAGGAAAAGGTATGGGGAGGTGTGAGGAACGGACGTGGGAAATGAGGACAAAGGGAATCCGCAAACACGGACATCCATACACATGCAAACAGAAAAGCAAAAGACGGGCCTCGTGCGAAAGATGAAAGTGCACTTTGCAATGAGGGTGACGATTAAACAACCCTTTCCGCTTGAAATCTTCCTCAAAAAGCATAAGAAAAATAAATAAGTAAAACTAAGCGGGGAAACAAATCCATCGCAGCTCACGCTTCTCTGCAGCACGAAATTGCTGGTGTCAAAAACATCTGTCTTTCGGGGGTTTGTGCCTTCCCAATCTAGACAAATTTAGACGCATTCAGAGGAGATGGAAGAGGTCTAAGACAGATGTTTGAAACATTCATCCCTGCCCTGTCAATCACTCAAAGGAACATCTCCAGGTGATTCACAGCTGCGTCATGCTCCCCGTCAGTTAGAAGTCACTTGTTCTCAGAGATCTGTCACAGCCCAACAACAAAAATACTTGGGAACACAAGCATTAATTTGAGATACTTTTTTCACCTGGCATCCTAAAGAAATGAGGGATCTCCTGCAAATAAATGTCAGCATAAAAAAGAAAGTTGCCACTTTCAATGCTAACTCTTACTTTTAATCATTTTGCATAGAAATCTTTATAAAGATGTAGCACATATAAGACGTGACTTCTCTAAACAGTGACACTTGGGGGAAAGCACAGCCTTCTTGTTCCATGACTGGAACACAATTTTTTGAACATCTGTTATTTTACTTCCTATTTTTCAGATGTTCTGCTACTTCTCTCTATGTCCTGCAGCCACTGCTGTTGTAATTGCAGCTGCTTCTGAAAATAACCCAGCTCTGTCTCTTTCTACCCTGTTTCTGTCTGGGCTGGGAAAACAGACAACCAGTAGTGTTAAGGACTGGACGCTTCGTAAGAGTGGTAAGGGTCTGAGTGAGAGAGACTAAGAATTGCATGGATTTAGACCAGAGTCTTTTGATAGCTAATTCAGAGGGATGCCTGGGGACATTCTTCTCCTTCTGTATTCTCCAGGGTGCCTCTCAGAGAGGGAGGACCTCCATACTGATGCCTGAGAAATACACAGGCTGTTCCCAGAACCTGGTTCTCTGCCTTGCAGCAAATGAAGCCAAACCGAATTTGTCTCTGAAGATTTGCAACCTGGAATTTGGGGGCAGGATGAGGATATTGCTTTTGCTTTATTTTCGGCTGTTAGAATTTTTAATTAGCTCATCAAGCAGGCATGAGCAGAATAACCTACAGTTCCCCAAATACATTATGCCGATTCATGCTTCCTATTAAAACCAGCTCTTCCCCCTATCATAGCACTGTCCTGAGATCTTCCCAACTAAAAAAATTAATTCTTTCGAGTCTTACTTTTTATTGATTGACATACAGAATGCACCCAGTAACTATTTGGTGAATAAAGCAAACTCAGGAACGAATGAATATATCTGGGATTGAGTGGGATTGCTTTTAAAAGGTAAAAACAGTTACTGATACACTGTCATAGTTGAATTAATAGTCTTCATATTATTGCTCTGATACGAGTTAATCTGAATCTTCTTTTAAAAGTCAGTCAATGCATTTCACCAAAAAAGATACAGATGGTAAACACACATATGAAAAGATACTCGAGATCATTATTCATTAGAGAAATGCAAATTAAACCCACAATCAGATGCCACTCCATACCTAGGAGAATGGCTACAGTTAAAGAAAGCAACTGACAATACTAAATTCTGGCAGATGCAAAGTAATGAAAACTCTACATGGTTGGTGGGAACACAAAATAATCCAACCATTTTTGATGAACTGTTTGGTTATTATTAAAAGCTAAACACAGAGTAGCAAATCAGTACAAACAAAATCCTGAAATGTTCAAACAGACAGTGAAGCTGGAGCACCAGTTTCCAATCCAGAGTACACGCGCACACACACACACGCACACACGCACACACGCACGCACACACGCACATGCATGCAGTCATTTTCTAAGCTTCAGCCGGTTTTGATTAATTTTTTCCAATATGTTAACTGATTTACATGAAAAATATTACTCAGGCTCTAAATTAAGTGAAATTAATTATATACGCATTTAATCATCTTCAATTTAAAAGAACAAAATATATAAATCCTGGTACTACTCAGGAAAATTCAAGATTCTCGATCATTTTAACTATAAGATAGCTCTTTCACATAAATAATTCTCTGATAGATGGATAAACTCCAGACTTTAAATACTGGCTTCTCTGCAGAGAGTTTGACACAATCATAAGGATCCTAGATTCTGGCCTCAGACCAACCTGGACTGTCACTTACTACATATTATTGGGCAGGTGTCTCAGCCTCTACAAGTCATGATTTCTTCATGTATAAAAAGTGATGAAAATGGTTCATACTTCCAAGGGTTGCTACGAAGATTAAATGAGAAAATGCATGTAAAGTACTTAGCAAAGTCCTTGATCCATGGCAATCATCTAATGTATAGGAGCTACCATTAGTATTATTATTCCTCTAAACAATTTATATATTGAAAAGAACAGAAAGAGACAAAATGGTAAAGGGGTAGTGTGAGAAGGAGATTCTGGAAACTGTCAGGGAGCCAGGCCTCGAGAGCCAGTTGGTGACAGGAAGCTCAGTAGAGTGGGAAGAACTGGAATAATCTCACATGCAGGGCCCGTGTTGGAAAGGGGAAGGGCAAGTGGAAGTGACAGAGAGGTTAGTAATTAGGCAGCTAATTTGCATTTAAGAGGAGAGGGAACTTCACTGTGGGTAGCTACGCCAATAACCCACTTCTGGCTTTTTCCCATGCCTGAGCAACACCCAGGACATGTCAGTAGGGAGAAAAGACAGTTCGAACCAGCTCACGTTTCCACTCCTGTGCTCCTCAACTGTCATTATGCTCTAGTGACAGGTATACAGGAGCCTTGGGCAAAGCAAACCTCAGTTTACAAATCACATGATAAAAGCCACAGGATGGAAGCTGACCCAGAAATTCTCCAAACTGGCGGTTTTCAAGTTTTTAAGCCACGAAACTTTTTCTTAAAAGAATGAACCAAAAAAAAAAAAAAAGTAAAAACACAGCAACTCGGACCCTAGCAGAGATGGGGTCCCAGAGCCTGAGCAGCTCAACTCCACCCGTGCCACCTCCACGTCCCGACGGTGCCGCTGATATTGTCCTGCGCCTCAATTTTAGAGACGTGTTAACTGAAGGTGAGAAAGAAAGGTGAGGTGAATTCCACAAAGATGCAAACAGGGAAGCAAAGCTGGAAATAGAATCCAAACGGTTTTCTGACTGCTGGTCAGGTTCTCTATCTTCTTGACGAACACACCAAAAAGATGAGGAAGAAAGTAAACCATGCTGGAATGTGCCTCATCATAGGGAAAAAAAACCATAAGAATGGAAGGCTGGTGAGCAAGGAAGTCTGGCAATGACAGCTTGGGCTCTGCTAATCTGCATATGAACAAATCATCGCCTCCACGGATGGCTGACTGGAGTTACCAAAACAGGTTTTTGAACATTAAAAGAAATTAAGCCAAAAAAAAAAAAAAGACTTCACAGTGAATGCCTAAGAGTCACATTTACAACTATATTGCATATGCATGCACACAATTACACTCTGGAGGAAGTTTAAGCCACATTCGTGGGACCGTAGGGGAACGAAAAAAGAGAACGCACAGCCAAGAAAATGAAGCACAGTGAGTAAGGGAGGAATTCCAGTCGTACGATGCCAGGCGTGATTTGGTGTTTTGTTCACAGAACTCCAGCTTTGGATCATCTGGTTGCACTTTAAAGCGTCTGTATTCTAAAATCAAAGGTCAGAGCAAGTGCTTCCTTCTTCGACTTCTACACTGTGGAGTTCAGAGTTCTTATCAACACGGGTAAATCATTTCCCAAGTACCTTCGCTCCCCTCCGCTCGAGTCACCGGCGACGCAGAGAGCCGTCAACGCCCAGCTCCTGCGTGGCCTTCACGGGGTCACTTCCCAGGCGGCTGTCTGGGCCCGAGTCTGCAGCTACCCAGCCCAGAAGACGAGGAGAAATCCTGTGCCCCTGCGGCCTGCGAGACCCCATCACTCAGGGTCACATTTTTAACTTTTCATTCCATCAAAGGAGGATTTACACTATCCAGACAGAAACCATTTGGTAGCTCGACACACATTATTTCCTGGCCGCATCCACAAACACATTCTTTAAGAGTGTCTCACCTCCTCCAGCTTAAATATCGCTCCGACGTGCGGCTGGATGCGCCTTTCCTGGCAGTACTGAAGAGCGGAGGACAGGCTCTTGGAGAAGGCGGGAAAGTTCTGGTCTCTGTATCGGCTGCGGTACAGCCCTATGGCAGAGATATTCTTCACGAGCAGGAGATTGGTCGGCACGGAAGCAATGGTTCCTCCAGCAAAACCCACCACCACAATCCGGCCCTCCCACGCCAAGCTGAGGGAGAAAAGGAGAAATTTTAAAAGCAATGCACATTCACACCCATTAGGACAGCAACTATTTAAAAAGAAGGAAGAAAAGAAGTGTTGGCAAGGATGTAGAGAAATTGGAACTCTCAAGCATCGTTGGTGGAATCGTAAAATGGTACAACCGTTATGGACAACAGTATGGACAACAGCCTCAAAAAATTGAAAATAGAGCTACCCTTCTGGGTCTATATCCAAAAGAACTGAAAGCAGTCTTGAAGAGATATTTACACACCCATGTGTATACACAGCACTATCTATAACGACCAAGATATGAAAGCAACCGAATGTCCGGCAGCTGATGAATGGATAAACAAAATGTGGTCTACACTAAACGATGGAATATTATTTAACCTTAAAAGGGAAGGAAATTCTGTCACGTGCTACAACATGGATGAACCTTAAGGACATTGTGCTGAGTGAAATAAACCAGACAAGAAAAGACAAATACTATACGATTCATAGGAGATATCTAAAGTAGTCAAATTCATAGAAACAGAAAGAATGGTGGTTATCAGGGGCTGGAGAGTGTTGTTGTTTTAATGGGTAAAAAATTTCAAATGTGCAAGATGGAAAAGTTATGGAGATCTGTGTTACAGCAATGTGAATATACTTAATGCTACCGAATTATACACTTAAAAATGGTCAATAGAGCAAATTTTATGTTATGTGATTTTTTTTACCACAGTAAAAAATGTGGAATGGGAAAAAAAAAAAAAAGCGATGTCCATTAGTTCCTTGAGACAAAAAGAATAAAGGTTACAGGGAGTTGGGGGAGGGGGAAGGGCAGTTATTATTTAATGGTTACAGAAATATTGTTGGGGAAGGTTTCACACATTGTGGGCATATTTAATACCACTGAACTGCACACTTACAAATGGTTAAAATGATAACTATTAAGTCATGTCTACATATTTTTTTAAAGGGACATGCATTGAACCTCTAAGCTGGGACCTCCTGTTGACCTTACGAACTAGCAGGAACGAACCATCCTGTATCACTTTGGGTTCCACAATAGGAAAATATAATCCATAAACAAGACAGCGAGGGGCCAGAGGAAGTAGCTGGTTTTCTAACTGGACCCACTTTAGAATCAAGACTGTTCTAACTATTCTACTACTTTGTGCAAGAAAACCAGGAGTCAACAAATGTCATTCCACATGCCGAACTCAGAGACAAATCAGTCTGAAGCTTCTGAACTCAGGAAGCAGGAATAAGAGAGACACGTCTACGAAGCATCATTTGCTGGACACAGAGACTTACCTCAGCTTTACGTTGTACGTTTCTCTAGAGAATCTTGAATTGTCAACAAAAACTCAAGTTTTCTGCAGCCCATAATGAGGAGCACTATACAGTGCACATAAAGCAGCGAGTTATAAAAATACACTTTGTAAACATCTTCGTTATAAAGTATGGCTATGCTTGCTTGGTTTTTGCTTTTTGCTTTTCTCCTTTAGAAGGGAAATGGGACGCTGTTGTCAAAACACTATTATCCAGAAGGCAGGAGAAGGGCGAGGACCAGCAGCTCTCTGTCCTGGCCCACTATCTAGGCAAACGCTCCTTCCTCTGCTTCTTCTCTCAGCCCAGGGCCGGCCGCACCGGTGCCCGGGGCACAGCACCGGCTGGGTCCCTCCTGTGGGCAAGCTGCTCTCTCTGCTTTAAATGGAGATAAACCACAAAGTGACGCTTGCCAGGATGACATGAGAGGTGAAACCCACAGTACAGAGCACTCCAGAGGCCCTGGTTGAAAACGATGAGAATTGGTATCCAGATAAAAATCCCACTAAATCTCCAGTGTTTTCCTTTTTTTTTTTTTTTTTTTTTAAATAAAACAAGTCAGGGAGACACCTACCCTGCTGGCTGCTTCAGAAATCAGCAGGATCAAAAGAATGTGTATATCTAACATTGGAACAATGATCTCTTCGAGAATTACCCACACCGTGTATATAAAGTAATTAGTGGGGGCCAGCATAGCCGAATTTAACACGTGTATAATTTTTAAAGTATTTGATATCGCCAACTAGAGAGTCTTCCGTCATTTCTTGGGTATTTTCCAGTGGGATATTTTGTTTTTTGCTATATTTAAGCATTTCCTGCTTCTAGTTCTTTCCACCCACCCACTCAGCTGTTCTCGCTGATGCCAGTGCCTGCAGGAAAAGTGAGCAGCAAAGTGGAAAGAGAAGCCAGGCCAGAAGGCAGACAGGGCTGGAGAGGTTTCAGCAGAGCCCCAGGTCCAGCCTGCTCTGGACAGACCACGCACGCACCTGTGCAGAGCCTCCAGGAAGATGTCTCCTCCCACGGTGTCCACGACCACATTCACCCCGCCGCTGCCCACCAGCTTCCTCACGGCCTCCCTCAGGCCTCCCCGGCTGTAGTTCACGCTGGCCTGTGCGCCCCTCTGCATGGCCAGCTCACACTTCTCGTCACTTCCAGCTGCAGCTACCACCTGCGTAAAGAGCACACAGCTTCTGAGGTTCCGGGATAGGTAGTGAGAGGGACTCACGCCACCGGCCCAACCTGCGACGAAAGGTGACCTTGCTGCCCTGCCCACGCCTCAGGCCCCATGTACGCGCAGCACCATCACACTGGCCCCTCCGTGTCCCACTGCCCATGGGATCCACGTTTCCAGGAATCCTGGGACCCCGACAGGTCTAGGTAAAAGATGGTTCAGGAGACATTCAGAAAGTCCTCCAAATACGAATTATAAACCACCATTTACTGAGTACCTACTATGGGCCAAATAGTAAGGATATAAGCTAAATACCGAGTTTACAGTCAAGAAAGCAAGATACAGCAATGTGATGGCGGGGGGTGGGGGGGTGGAGTACAGAGAGTTCTAGGAATGCAAATGGGAGGTATCCAACCTACACCTTGAAGATCAGGAAAGACTTCTCAGGAAGTAAAACATGATTCTATGGAAAGATCTTTAAGTCGGACAGACCTGAGTTCAAATGCTGACTCTGCTACTAACCAACTGTTACCTAAGACAAGTTACTTAGTGAGAACTAACACTTACATAGAATTTACTCTGTCAGGCAGGATTCTAAATACTTTACGTATATCAATAACTCATGCAATCTTAATAGCCCAATGATTACACACTATTATTACTCCCATTTCAGAGATGAAGAAACTGAAGCAAAAGAAGTAACTTGCCCAAAGTCACACAGCTGATGGGAGAGAGATCTGGAATCCAAACCCTGGTTAATCCATCTCCAGCATTCACGCCCTTAACCTCTCCATACTTATGCCAATCCTTAGGTGTCAGTTACCTCGTCCACAAAATAAGATTTAAGAATTCAATGGAATACTGTATGTGAAGCTCTTAGAAAATGAAGTGTTAGATAAATTGAATCTATTGTTATATACAATCATTTATTCCATTTAAACCTCATAAGAACATTAGGGGGATGTATAATTACATCCATTCTATAGATAGAGACATAGACCCAGAGAGGTTAAGTAAGTAATGCACAATCACGTGGGTCATAAGTGATGGAACAACTTTTCAAACCCAATGCTGCCTGACTCCAAAGTCCATGCTTTCCCACTCCACCGCCCAGGGAGAAAACCATGCCAAAGGCCTGGCAAAGATAGCATTGATGGCTAGGGATCACACTGGGAGGAGCTCTGGGGTTTGGAAGTCTCCAGAAAAATTTCAAACACTCAAGCACTGCCTAGGGTTGCCTTATCACTGGGCGCATCCACCAGCTGGAGCACTTTGGCCCCAAGGCAACATTCAGAACTTGCATCCAAACGCCCAAGAACACCAGTGCCCTCAGGTTCCAAACTCAGCCGTGACTATTCGAAACCGAAAGCTGCCTCCAAATACTCCCTAGTGGAGCCCTGAAACGGGACTCTCAGTGGGTCCCCCAGGCCTGCCATGAATCATTTTCTCTCTTGGTGCCTCACTTTCTCTATCTGTGAAATAGGGACAATAAACACTGACATCACCCATCTCCCAGGGGTTTTGAGGAGCAAGGGTCGGGTAATTGCTGGGGAGGCTCTTCGAAAGCAATATGAAATGTTGTGAATGGCAGCCATTATCAAAATGACCTGTTCCAAGTAGGTGGAATAATGACATTATTTTTGTTTATTTGTTTGTTTGTTTGCTTTTGCATAAAAGCATTATTGCTGCCGAAAAACATAAAGCTTAGATTAATTTCAATGTCTGAATTGAAGTGAACTTTTCTCTCCACTTAACCTCCTATAACTATTTAGAACAAATGATACAATTTTATCTTCTCAGAAATGTTAAACAGTCGATGGTTCTAGACAATGAAACTAATTCTGATGCCTCCAAGAGAGGTGCTAAAAGCCTTGCTTCTGACATGAAATGTGTTAATAGTCTATGAGGAGGCTCCTGGCAGCTAAGGTTGCTTTCGGAACTCACACGTCCTTCCCAAAGGAACTGAACGTGAGAAAGAGAGATGCTGCCTGAAGAAATTCCAGACCAATCCAATTATCTCCAAGCCTGAGTATCCCGGTGCCTTCTGGACACCCCAACGCCCCACAAGAACCTGACACTCAACAGCATCCAAAACTGAACTCGCCACTTCCTCCCATGTTCTCCATCTCAACAGGTGGCAAGTCCACAAGTTAACCTAGTATGCTCCTTCCCACTCAACGTCTAATAATAACCGGATCCCTATTTGAGAGATTCTTACCGACACGCCATGCCTTCCAACGGGTGCACTGCACTTATAATTCCCATATTCCCACAACCACCCTATAAGGAGAACATTATTTTGCCCATGAGGAAACTAAAGTGACTAAGCTAAAGGCAGAGCTGGAATTCGAACCCAGGTCAGGTGAATGTCCAAGTCCGTGGTCCTTTGTATTAGGATGCTTTCCAGTCAGCAAATGCTCTACTTTCTTCCACTTCAGCATCCCTCGATTTGTCGCCTCCACTGCCTTGGTTCAAGTATCATCACCTCCAGCTCAGATTCTCCAAGAGTCTGCCCTACCGCCCTCAGACCGTCCCTGACCTTACCCGTATCCCTCATCTCTGCTACTAGAGTGAACTTTGCAAAGATGATCATGCCACTTCCCTACTTAGAACTCTCTATAGCTTCCAGTAAGTGTTCACATTCTTCGGCAACCTCCTGATCCTATTTCTGTCCACCTCTAAAGTCACCTTCCACCATTCTCCACACAGATTCTCTGCTCCACGGGTGCTATTTGCGATTCCCTGAATGCATCACGTTAGTTCCTATTTCTCTGTCTTCTAGGAGGTCCTCCCACCACTAAAATGGCCGTCACATCCCTTCTTCCACTATTCAAATGCTACCAATCCTTCAAAAATTCAACTTAAATGTCCACCTTCTCAATCGTAAATGTCCCTCCTTCTCTGAAACCCACGGCCCCAGAGAGACACCCCTGTAGAGACTTCAGTCTTTCATTTATTCATTCATTATTCAAGAAATAGTTATTGGTGCCTACTGTGGTCTGGGCACCGTGCCAGGCACTGGGACTGCAATGATGAACCGAACAGACACGGCCCCTGCCGTCATGGGCACTCCAGTCCAGCAGGAGAAAGATCTTAATCCAACAATGACACAAGTAAATGATTCAGCATGCACTGAAGCGTGCACTGTGGAAGAGAAGTATAGGATGCTATGGGACTATATACAAATAGTGGGAGGATGGGATTAATGTCTCCTAAGAAACAAAGAACACGTCCCTAAAAAGTAGCATCTGAGTTTAAATCCGAAGTGTAGGAGTACGGGGCAGTTCAGAGCCTTACAGATAGAAGGAACAGCATCCGCGGAGGCTGCGAAGCCGGGCTCCAGTACCTAGAAGGACGAGTCCCTAGGTCCCCTCACTAGTCTATAAGCAAATAGTTGGTAAGACCCTACTCTAGGAGACTCTGTATCCCCAGGACTTTGCACATGGCTTTTAATAAATGAATGAATATCGTCCACGTTTGAAAACCACATTCGAAGGTATAATTTTTTTAAGTGGAGACTCCAACATACACATACCTTGGCCTGAAGAACTTTTGTTGCCACATCTATCACTGCAAGGCCTGTGGCTCCGGCGGCCGCCGTCACCAAAACGGTTTCTCTGTGCCAGAGAGAGAAGAATGTTACTTCAGAAACCAAAACCATCCGGCATTTTGATTTCCTGAACATTGTGAAACCAGGACGTTTTAAAGCGAGAACTTGGAGATCCTTTCATTCAACTCTTCACGTACCTCTGTTCCCAGCCTTTAGGGCTGGGTGATGGCTAGATTGGTGCTAATTAGGTCCAGTTCTGAAGATTTCCCAGGGGAAAATATAAAAGCCTTTAATCTCTCTAGGGAGCCTCTTCCTCACGCCAGTGGCTGCCCCTCCTTTGAGCTACCCCTCCAGTTTCTGCTTCGGAAATTCTGTCCTAAAATCGTTCTCATACTAAACACTGCTGACTTGAGAAGGTGGTGGCCATAGAATAACCACCGCTCAAGTAAACCCATCTCTGTGGGGCGAGGCTGAGGATCTCTGAAAAGACCAAAAGGCAGTAAATATACTCTGGGCACAGCAGGAAACTTCAGCGCCCCCGAGTTTAAAACACCCCAGTTAGGTCCACCCAACCAAGCCTCGCAGAAACAAATGCCACAAGCCTCCATTAAACCAGAGGGAAGGGAGTTTAAATAAACCAACTCTAAATTTCAAGGCTCTCTAGGAGGTGATATCCAGGGTGGTCAAGCTTGAGAGAGATATTTCCCCAAGTTCACAATGGCCAAGTTCACAGTCTACCACTTCCTTCCAGACACAAGGATCTCTCCACCAGCACCAGACTCCAGCCTCAAGTCACTACTTTCCTTTGGCTTTTCCTTACACAGACTGAACACGCGCTAAAGGTCAGGCAAGGGAAGGGAAGGGGCCAGGCCTCGGGCACTTCCGGTATCAGAGAGGGCCTATCTAGCCCTCTGCTGTCTACGCAGTCCTCACCCAGGTTGGGTGCATGCCCGATGCTCCAGGGCCAAAATAGCAGTGCCGTAAGACACAGGCAGGGCAGCAGCTTCTTGGAAGGAGACCCTTTCTGGAATCTGCCACAGTGCCTATAAAACAGATAACAGTGCCTTAGGAATTGAGTACACGTAGCTGTTCAGAAAGGCTGCCCAGTAAATACTATGATTTGATTGAGTAACTGATTTGCAAAGAGAAACACGTTAGGTAACAAGCTCGGTGGAAGTCAAGACCACAAGCAAGCAGTGGCCAAGTTCAAGACTTGGATGCATCAGTCTTCAAAATTCCTAAGATTGCATCTGCTCAGGAAGGAACCAATTTATGGAGAATAGAACACAGAGCACTGTATTATAATGACCAAAGTGGATGTTATGTGAATTTTACCGCCATGAAACTGTGCAGTTCTCTGCTAGGGGGCTTTATTCACATCCTGCACGACCCGATCTGGCTACCCTGGCTGGCTCCATTCCCAGGGCTATCTCTTTCACAAGATTCTTGTGGGAAACAAGCCCATTACATCATCTCAATGCGCCAAATCGGTTTTTCTACCAAGACTACCTGTGGTCCAATTAGCCAGCCAGCCAGCCAGTTGCTCCAGGACTCAGAAAACAAAATGCTTCCTCATTACAGCACTCCACACAAAGTTCTGTGCAAGGGTTGTCACACCGACTGAGAAAAGGGAGTTTAGCATTTGAAATAAAGACGAGCTCGGCTAAGAAACAAGATCTGACCGAATGAATACAAAGGAAAAGGGAGGGAGGGACATGAGAGACATGTAGAAATTAAAGGAACGAGAGAGAAAAATCCCCAAGCATTAATACTGAGAGGCAGGGATACCTTCTGGTCAGCGATGTGTTCTTCGGCCATACAATTAAAGCCACTCACACCAACAACTCGATCTCCCTGAAGGAAAAATAGCATTAAGGTCAGGTTCGAATGCATGGCCTTGCCATTTACCTCTTCCTGAATTAATCTAAAAAAAAAGAAAATCTTTCCTTCTGACCCCGTAAGTCACAGGTTTGGGCCACTCGTAATCATCCACTCGTAGCCATTTTCTCCATACCCCCCCACCACCAGGTTGCCAGGCCAACTTGAGCCAATGATATGGACATCAATTAGAATATGAATTTGGATATGAATATTCTAATTAACACTGGGATTCTACCCAGTGTTAATTCCTTTTTAAAATTTGAGAATTTTTTATCCTCTCACTAACCAAAGACTGAAGTGCTGCCTTTTATCAGTAATAAAATATTTAACGAAGCCAGGAACTTGTCCTGGGTCCCTTCTCCCAATTCAGAATTTGTTTCTCTCCCCTCCATCTCCATTTCCCTTTGGTGTCTGCTGGCAAAGGCCAGGAGAAGCAAGACCCTTTGGCTACAAATGACGGCACATTTCTCACAGCCACACACATCAGTTCCCTAGATGTCAACTAATTTACCTCTTTCACGGTGCTGACATCTGTGCCTGTCTCCAACACGGTCCCAGAAAACTCCATTCCTAAAACAAATTGTTTAAAGATCAGGTTATCTGTAAAGTCCAGCACCATGGAGACAGGAAAATCCCGATCCATGGACAATCCTACGAGCTTTCTGGAGCTGAGAGGGTTTCAGTGTTCCCCTATCCAGGACAGAGGGTAAGCGTTGTACCCAAAGCACAGGAAAGTGAATTCCAGATTGCGTGATCGCAACCTGCAAAGCTATAGCAGTCTCGTTCTTACTAGGACACAAATGAAAATTTCGAGAATGGGCAAAAGCACAGAGAATCACAGATATACAAGTACATACTTGGACCCTGATCACTGAGGCCTTGGGCACCCACAGTGCCCAAATTACAATGTTTATCATCTTATTTCTCTCTGTTGCCATGTCTTCTCTTCTGGATTATGAGGCCCTCGAGCACATGAATTATATTTATTCATACAGTGCTTGGCTCGAATGGATGCACTGGTGTTGTCTGCCCTTTCCTCTTCCACCTCTGAAATTTCTGAATTTAATGATCATGCGTCTCCCACTTGAGCTACCACAGGAATAACTGAATTAAATATGACATCTTCCCCCCCATCCAGCATTTCGACAAATACAAAGAGAAAGAAGTGATTCCAACTGTTGAGACACAACCAAACACCCTAAGGCCAAAACCACAGTGACTATTTTGCAATCACTGGATCCTTAATAGTACACATCTACATAGATAGAATATGCATATAATATGTACATGCTGAGCTATAGCAACATCTCTTTAAATAAATTTCCACCACAAAAGTCAGTCATTTGTCCACACATTCAGGATCTAAATGCAATCCGATTGGTATAATGAAAATCAAACAGTGGGCTGCTAGAAATGCATAAACTCTGTTTCCTTCTTTCTGATCCCTTTATATTAGATTCATGTGGAAATGTGTTTGTGAGGACTGAGAGTTTCAACTGCAAACAGACAGTTATGATCCTTAAGTGAAAAAACAAAATTTAGGCAATACTGAAGAATAAAAGGGAATAACTAGGACCAGTGATGATTCAGAACAGAATTCTGGTGAACATAATGACCCGTGAACAGTCATTTGTCCACTTATTTATTTTTAAAGTATTTATTGAGCATCTGCTATAAGACAATTACAATACAAGGATGGGAGGTATAATGAGGGTAAGACAGTCATAGAAATTTCCCTCCAGGGGCTCACAATCCAGTGCTTCTAATTAGGGGTGAGGCTAAGACATCTGAGTTGTCACTGACAGTGAACAAGCACTGCCAGAGTAGCATCTGAGATGAAGCGCCTGGTTCTGAAATTGTCTCTTCTTTTCCTGCAGCAGTCACGTGGCCCCGTCATACTCACCAGGTGTGAAAGGAACTTGGTGCTTTTCCTGATACTGACCACGGCAGACCAAAATATCAGCAAAGTTAACTCCACAGAAATGGACATCGACTCTGACCTGCAAAAGGAATAGAGTGCAACATATCCATGCAAAGTCCATTCAATTATACCAAAATATGTACTGAATATCTACTGTATGCCAGGGAGAGGGGGGGAGGGGAAAAGGGAGAGGGTCATGAACTCAGTGGATAATCACGAAGCAAAATGTACAAGGCTCCTGCCTTCGTGAAGCCAAGAGTATGGTAGAGAAGACAGTAACCAAATAACTAGGAGGATTTACATGTTAAATTACACTCCTACACAAAATACTAAAGATGGAAATATATGGTGCTATGAAAGCACATCATGGGGTGATCTGACCGTTTGGGGGTGGTCAGGAAAAATCTCTGAGAAAGTAACACCTTAGCTAAGCACAGCTAACAGTTAACTATTCAAAACGGGGAGGCGGGAGCCTGGCGCAGACCAAAACAATGGCATGTGCAAAGGCCCTGCGGGAGGGACAAAAGGAAAACCAGCGAGCCTGGAGCACGACGAGGGAAAAAGAGATGGGGTTAGAGGGCCGGTCTCATACCATCCAAGGGTTTGCAGGCTTTAGTGAGCATCTTCGCCTTCGGAGTAGGAACAACGGTAAACCATTAAAAGGGTTTAGCAAAGAGTAACACGATCATTTGTTTTGAGAATCAGGACTCTTTCCGGAGGCTAGTTCTAGATGCTCAGCTCCAGTGTTTTGTGACGATGCCAGCGCTGACGCAGGTCTGCATCAGTGTAACCAGCAATTTCTCTAGACCTTGTAGGCCAGCGGTTCTCCAAGTGTGGTCCCCAGACCACGAGCATCAGTGTCACCTGGGAATTTCAAATTCTCAGGCCCGCCCCGACCAACTAAATCAGAAACTCTGGGGACAAAGCCCGGCAAACTGTTTTACCAAGCTCCAGGTGATTGTGATGCAGGCTAATGTAAGAGCACTCCTGTCTCTCAGAGGAAATTAAGGCTGAGAAACCGAGTCACTGACATTCATCTATTTGTTTTGTTTAAATTTCCATTTTAGTACAGAGGTAGCTATATTGGTGAAGGGACATTTTTATCAAAAAAAAAAAAAAAAAAAAGCATTCATTTAACAATGTGTAAAGCACCTTCCATGTGCCAGGCACCATTCAAGACTAAGGGGATTTGTGGCGGGTAAACTCACAGTCCCAGCTCTCATGAGCTAATTCCTTACAAGTCGGTGTCTGGACAAATAACAGAACAAAGGAGCCCAGCCTTCGGCCTGTTGTGTGCATGACACATTAGTTGTTGACATATGCAGCACACGTATGACTTCAAGCCACTCCACCTTGATTCGAGGATGATTCGAGGATGAACCTCTTCCAGCACATGTGTCCCAGGAAGCAGACTGGCTGCCATCATGTGCTCACTCAAATAATCCTTTTGGCCACAGAGTTCGTGTTAGTAACACTGGGGCTACTACCACATTTCTCCCTCTCACCTGTGGTCCCTGACATTGAGGCTCACTGCGTGCTGCACCTTGTCAGAGGTTCTCATTCTCCAGGTCACCAGAGTCAAACTCCACACTGTGTCACCAGAGTGGTCAACCCACAAGACCAAAGGGACTCTCACATTTCACTGGAAATGCCCACGATCCTGAATTAACTCCACCCCAAATCACCGGGTACACCAGAGGAGAGCACGCGGCACATATTCGGATGGAAATACAGGACATTGCCAGGCTGGTTTTAGGAAGGCGGGTGGGCGGATAATTAGATGCTGACACCGAAGAGGAAGCAAAGGACGCGGTCCATTTATCTGTGTTAAATCGATAACTTGCAGGTGGTTATGCAAAATCCTGTGAAAAATCAGAATTCTGTTTCTAAGGCAACAACAGCTCTGGGGCCTTCAGAAAGAGGCCTCCGTTTGTGTTTGGGGGAACAATCTTTCTTTCGCCCTTTTGGCCTTTTTGTGAGCCCCGAAGGGGCCCTTCTTCTACCCAGGACGAAGTTGCGCTCCAGGGGCCCGGCCGCCCCCAAGCGGAGCTCTTGGGAACTCAATCCAGGATGGAAGCTGTGGAGCATGCGTGGTGGCAGAGGGGACAGCGAAAGGGTGTCAAGAGGTCGGGAGCGTAAACCAGGCACCCTACCTCGTGAGGCTGGACAGGGCGAGGGGCGACCTCCTCAATGGCCAGAGGCTGCTTCAATTCGGTGCACAGCGCGGCGCGGTAGTGGCGGATGTTGCCCAGCCAGGCCCTCCTGCAACAAGGGACAAGAACTAGGTTACTCAGGGCGAGCCCCCGCAGCTGCCTCAAGGGCTCAAAGACGAGTCGGAGTCACACCTGCAGAGTCGCACCCAAGGGAAGCACTGCCTCCAGACGACCCCCGCCATGGCCCCTCGGGAGGACGCGAGCAGCGAG